AGTAAAACAAAATGGCATGCAAAAGTTTATGTTCTTGATTTATTTCTTTTTCGTCGATTTTTTTGGAAATTAACAGACTACTGCAAAATGACGATCACATAAAACATAAACGAAGATACACACATAAATTTCTGGTACAGTAGTACTAATGGAATATCAAAGCTTTTCTTCTGTGTTGTCGAACTTGAAATCGAAGGTATTGACACCAGTATAAACACCATCGTCTATGTTGCTAGTAATTGTTTCCCCGCTCATAAGAGTATCGCGCTGGGTGTAGGAGAAGGGAACATCAAATGAAGCCTCGGCTGCTACATACTTCACCTTAACCCTAGTCATTGCTTGCAGAACAACTTTATACACAACCTCCTTTTGACTACTTGTGACTGTCTCAGTTACTCCAAATTGAGCTGTTCCAGTAAATCCAATCTTCACCTTGTTATCGTCTGCAATTATTGGAATTGCGGTATTGGTACTGCTTTTGACACCAGGCAACTTCAAAATCGACGAGACGCTAGAGTACTTCCAATTACTTCTCGTTGTTTGTGTATACGAAAGCTTCACCTCTACAGGGTAAGATTCTTTGGTACGGTTAACGACCTCTCCCACGGCCATTTCAACAATGTGTTGGTTGTAGATCCTTGCACGATAGAGGCGAAGAGAAATACCACTGATATCCCTCCATAAGGGGAGAACCTCTTCCACCTCAAGGTACGCCTCTTTGTCAATAGTGGGGGCATTTGCATTGAGACTGCTAGTAATTGTGCTGATGGTAAATCTCTTGCAGAAATTATTGTTGCGCATGCTGCGGAGAGCAATGACATTGTCACCTACTTTGATCGGCCAAAACAAGGTGTCGGAATCATTGTCGGTGGAGTCATCTGAGTCGGCACATATCCAGTCGTCCTTGGAAAGTCTCCAGAATTTCCCCGAGGAATTGGACTTTATGCGGACAGTTCCATCAGCGTTGGTGAAGACCTCGTTTCCCACAGATGGATCTTCAATGTCATTGGATTCGAACTGCAGCAGATGTGGTTGTTGGTCGATCAAGCGGGCACTGAGGTAGTTGCCATTACGGCCTTTGAACGCCACATGCTTGGGAAGTAACTCGACTGGCACCAATGATTCCCAGTCGATGACCATGAACACATCCATAAACTTCTGGCTAGGTGATTCCCCATACGTGTATATGAAACCCCAGTATTTGTCATTCGGATTGTTTTGCACCAATGCTACGTACTTTCCACTGTGGACATGGCGGAATCGGAGTCCTATATAATTAGTACTTCTGGCATCATGAACCGGGAGGCTATCGTCATATGCATAGATAGGTTCAAACAAGGTACACGAGAACCTGGATTTGTCTTCGTCTGGTTCATCAGCACCGGCAACAATCTGAGTATAACCACAAGCAGGCATCACCCAGTATTTGTTGTTGCAGCAGCATCTAATGTGCACTAGTCCTTCATTCCCATTACTCTTTGCCTTCTCCACTTCAAATTTTGTGTAATCGCTCCATGCTTCCTCTCCTGTGAAATTGATATACCTTGCAGCTGGCATGACTCGCTTCAGCTTCTCATCTGCATCAATATTGAATCGCAAATATTTGTCATTGTAGTTCGACTTGAGCACCACAAACCTGGGCAATGTTGACATTCTAATTCTCTCCTTGCGAGGTTCTGAAGTCGATCCCAATCTCCCACAACTCGCGTTAACTTAAGCACTTCTCCAGAAAACTTGGCTATGTTTCATCAACCATCTCATGTCCACATTATTAATCGTCATGATATCGCGGCGTCTCATTTTCAAACATTAAATTGGGAGAATAGATGGAAGATGTCGTACGAAAATAATGGTGGTGCTTTGTATGATGGGTGTTGCAATAATGGAGGTGATGCATTGTACTTCAAACACGTGAGGTACTACTCTATTTGTCTTTGTCCGAAGTTTTGTCTCAATTGGTTTTTACCCGGAAGATTTTTTACCGAGGCCCATATCATTAGTGCACACGATCTAGCTTGATGTTTTCTTTCTTGGAAGCCTTTGTATTTTATAGTTAGCAGTGCTAATGTTTGTGAGGCCTTTTTATGTTTTATGAAGTTCCATAAAGCATCTTATTCAACAAAAAACATAAATAAATAAAATAAAATAATAATAGATATAAATTAAGCCATGGCATCACGGATTACATAATATAGTTGAATACTGAACAACTAGGAGCTGGTGGTGGACAAAAAAAAAAAGAAAGGAGGCAGATTCTCTGCCCTTCCACTTTTCGTGCCCTCTTGTTTTGTGTGGTCACGGTTAAGCCATGTCAACATTATATATATATATATATATTTATAGAGATAATAAGACAAAAAGAATAGTAATATAAAATGTTGATGTGGCTTAACTGTGACCACACAAACATGAGGGCACGCGAATTGGAGGGCAGAGAATCTGCCACCAAAAAGAAAAGGATGCTCTATCCACTATTTGCCTCTAGTTGTGCAGCATTCAACATAATATAGTTCTTAATTATCTTGTAACAAATAGTATTTACTAAGTGTAATATTGTAAAGGACAAGACTTAGTGTTTGTTAAGAACTTAAGAGTTTGTTTTTTTAGGTTTGTTAGTTTTGGTTAGTTAGATGAGTTGTCATTACAAGGGTATTAATATCTTTTATATATACACAAGTGTAATATTATTTTCATTATGAAATGAATCATAATTTCTCAATATGGTATTAGAGCCAACTTGGTCCAAACCAAACTTATCATTTGCAATTAATATTGTGTGTCAATTCATGCAAAGTCCAAGAGAATCACATCTTCAAACAATCAAGAGAATCCTTAGGTATCTCAAAGGTAATATTAACCTTGGTCTTTGGTTTCCAAAATGTTCAAAATCACTTAGTATCAATGCATTCTTAGATGCAGATTGGGTAGGCTGCCATATAGACAGAAGATCTTCTTGTGGCTTTTGTATTTTTTTGAGAGACTCTATCATTAGCTGAAGTATCAAGAAACAACCAACAGTGGCAAGATCTTCCACTGAGGCTAAGTACAAATCACTTGCCAACACTGAAGCTGAAATTACTTGGATTTGCAAGTTGTTGGTTGATGTTGGGTTAATTCTTCCTTGTCCTCCAAAGATGTGGTGTGACAACATCTTTGCCATATCCTTGGCCAAAAATCCAATCTTCCATGCCAAAACAGACATGTGGAAAAATCGATTACCACTACATTAGAGAGAAAGTTCTATCCAAGAAGTGTCTGTTCATTTTACCTACACACAAGACTAAATTGTTGATATATGCACTAACTAAATTGCTGATATATGCACTAAGCCATTGGTCAAGTCAAGATTTCTTCTTTTCAGAGACAAAATCTCACCTCAGCTTAGTTTGAGGCGGAATATTAAGGGCAATATTGTAAAGAAAAAGGCTTGGTGTTTGTTAACTTGTTAAGAGGTTGTTATTTTAGTTTTGTTAGTTTTGGTTAGTTGAATGGGCTGTCATTACAAAAGTATCAATGTCACATCCCAGTCCCGGTTCTGCCGTAACACGATATTGTCAGTTTTAGGCATCGGCCAAGCCCTCACGGTTTTGTTTCTGGAAACTTGCACGAGACCTTCCCAGTTGGTCACCCATGCTGGAAATGCTCTCACCCAAACTCGCTTAACTTTGGAGTTCCGATGGAACCCAAAGCCAGTGAGCTCCCAAAATGCCTTGTGCTATATAGAGGTGGGCATGTACATATAAGGCACATCACCACCTCTCCGTTGGTCGATGTGAGATGTTACAATCCACTCCCCTTAGGAGTCTGATGTCCTCGTTGGCACACTCGCATCACACGGCAGAGTGGCTCTGATACCATTCTGTCATATCCCAATCCTGGCTCCACTGTAGCATGATATTATCCGCTTTGGGCCCCGACCACGCCCTCAAGGTTTTGTTTCTAGGAACTCACACGAGAACTTCCTAGTGGGTCATCCATCCTGGGAATGTTCTCGCCCGAACTCGCTTAACTTCGGAGTTCCGATGGAACCCGAAGCCAGTGAACTCCCAAAATGCCTCGTGCTATATGGAGGTGGGCATGTACATATAAGGCACATCACCCCCTCTTCGTTGGCCGATGTGAGATGTTACAATTAATATCTTGTAGATATACACAATTGTAATATTATTTTCATTATGAAATGGAATCATAATTTCCCCAATAACATTTAATTTGTGATAACCGTAGCCTTAATTTATATCTATCAATTTGAAAATGAGATGTCATGATACCATGACTACTAGTATGGAGCTTGCAAGTGGTTAAGAACACTTACTTCCACATTTGAAATCCTAAATTTTTTAATATTGTTTATTAAAAAAAGCCCCAAATTCGATTCTTCTATCACCTACGTCCTTTCACTTGTATAATAAAAAATTGCTTTATCCACTTCAAATTTTCTGCGTCGGTCCCTGCAGCCTTCTCTCCTATGAAAATAATGTACCATGCAACTTCCATGATTTGCTTCAGATTCACATCTACAGTCGAAATCCTATATTGTTTTGTTTTCTTCTTTAAAAGTATTTGTTGTTGCAGTTTGACCTGAGCACCGCAAATAATTCTGTCCTCTTTTTCGATCTCCAACAACTCACGTTAACTTAATCACTTTTCCAAAACTTGGTAATGTTTGATATTATTTGTAAATATTAACCATTGGAACCATCTCATGTCCCTCTTTACATAACTCATCGTGGTGACATTGTGACATCTCATTTTCAAATTGATAGATATAAATTGAGCCAAACACTGAGCTTGGCATCACGGATTATATATTATTGATCATTTAAACAAAAAATGGCTCCAAAAAAATGGCACAACCAAAGGTATTTGAAAAAAAGAAAAGAAATGATAAACACACAACACTCACGGTCTTTTTTACGTCTCATATACCATTGTTTAACCATGTTTGTTGTTTCCTTTTGATTTAATCCATCTGATGGCTAGAAATAAAAAGAGGTGTGTGAAAAGTTAAAAATGGTATGTAAAAACCACATCCCATAAAGAATATATACAAAAATGGTCTTTAGACGTGAAATTACTAACTTTGTTTCTATTCTGGTAGTATTACCCAGTTTGTATTTGAATAAAATATCCAATCTACAGTGCCAATCTCTATCCTTTTATGAAAGTCTTGGTACCTTCTTATGCATCTAATGAAGCTCATAACGTATCCAGTTGCTTCTTCCATTGGGTTGCCCTTTTCCTAGTTTGTTTTCATATTAAGAGATGACTACAGCGAACATGCTTCACGTTCTTTGTGTTCTGCTGTACACGCATGAATTTGGGCCACTGAATCTGAATTTGGGCAGCGGCAGAAAACTCATGAACTATCACGCGGAGTAGGGAAGATAAGTCCATCTTTTAGATGCCCTACTGATGTAGGACATAACCATTTCAGCACATTTGGACCCAAAACCTGATCAAAAGAAAAATGACTTGCAATGTTAACTTTCTCACAGATTTTAGTAACACATATACGAAGATACAAAATACACACGTAGAGGTGGCACAGAAAGAGTGGGATAGATAGAGACCGAAGTGATGTTTGTGTAGATACTAAGATTGTACGGATGTCTGTAACTCTGCCCAGATTTCTTACCCAACCATGCTGCCCTTATTCCTGCATAATACTGGTAAGAGATCCATGTTAGCTCTGTGTCAATTATTCAGAGAAGGAAAAAATAGCTCCAGTTCCAATTACGAAATGTCACAGTTACCTCTATAGTTGTCATATTATGGGTGATGAGGTAGAAATGCCAACCTAAAAGAGTTCCAAGCATTAAGCTCAAGGAAGCCATCACTATTCCAGACACAACCTGAATAACCAGTGAAGATGATTGGTGATGCAACAAAGGCTTTTAAGTTCAAATCACTTTGAACTGCAATAGAACTTCATTAAAAATTCAACTAAATTAGAGTAATAAATCTTTAACTTTCTAAGTAGATGACTAAGCTCAAGTTGTTATAAAGATGAAAATCTGTTGTAAAGGACACTCTCCCACAATAAATCGATCGGCTAATTAACCTTCTCGGTAGCACTATTTGTAATCTATCCTAAGTTCCAAATTCAATTCAAAATTCCTGTTGATTTAAAACTTTATGGTTCGTTGCCTTAACATTTCATAACTGATAGAATATATTATTGGTCTAATGCAAGTTATTTTTCGGTACGTGGTATCAATTACTCAAACGGACTCATTTATATGACTGTTACACTAAGCAACTAGTCCTCCAAATTTCTGTGCAGTTGAAATTTGAGCCATAAAACATCCGTTGTAGTAGAAAGCACTATATCTGCATCTAACTCATTAAGTGTGCATAAACACAGAAGAGGCTTAACTAGGTTCTTGATGTAACTTAAGTACGTAGGAATTTACTCCAAATCAAGAAATCAGAAACAGATAAACGTCCTCAGCACCAAAGGAAAAAACCAAAAGTGCACTAACTCACATAAAAAACCTTGTGGCTAACACGTCCACTGAATTCTAAGTCCTTTTGAGATGCACACTTTATAATGATCACCTAAACATGTTGAAAACCTTCAGTCAGAATTTGAGGCGGCTTATTATTATATGATAAAGTTCATAGCATGTAAAAGGAAGAACCAGACAAACTTAACTGTAGAGTACAAGCATCCTAGTGTTGCATATAAAACAAGCATCAAAAATGCCTTGTAGTTCCAGTAACCAACACAGTTATTGATCCACAGGCAGTGATGATCCTGCACCCAATTTTGGCATGAAAAATATAAACGGAAAAATATAATGTGTGCAAAAGAATCATGAATAATATAACATGGAAATGACAATGTAATTCAACCTACCATTCTTAAAACACACCTTCGGCAGACCCGACAATGATGAGCCCTGGGAGGCTTGTATGTAGAACACTTGTCACAGTGCCCCTGTCAGAGATCAAGGATCCAAAGTTTCAAAATTAGCTACAGAGAGAAGAAATCAGCATTACTAATGTGCGGCTAGATGCACCGCAATAACATACTTGATGACATGAACTCTTCAGAAATTCATTGAAAGTGGGTTGCAGGGGGAAGAGAGAGAGAGAGAGAAAGCGCTTTGCTTTTATCTTGTGTCACTATGTCCTGTGTCCATACTCCTATGGTTGCAATTGTATAAGCTTTACTTTCAGTTTCATCTCACTGGTAACCTAATTATATGATATCTCTATCTCTACTATACTAACAAATATCCACCTTGATGAAACAGGTATAAGAACTGACTCACGCTCGAAAGATCTCCTTCAACAAGCAATGCGATCAACTCAATAGTCCAACTCTCATATTTTCTATGCATACTCCCTAAACAACCAAGCTTTAAGCATGTATGCTGACTAATTTGTTGATGCTGCTATCAGCAAACAACAAATGAGTAACTCATAAAAATTTCTCAATTCTCACTGTTTTAGGGCCTAAACCCGATAAATCACACAAGAAACAGATATAAGAGCCAATGGGGTGAGAATAACTACTAATCTGTATTGCCATTTGCCAAGATTCAAAAACTTATTATTTGACTTGCTATAAAATGAATCCACTCAAATGAGCATCGAAATTGTTCCAAATTTCACAAACAACAGTTAATCTAACTAACCCTTAGTCGAAACGAGCATCAGAATCATTCATCAAATCTATAACATTACTAATTAGATACATTCTCAACAACCCATTAACACACCACTCAAAACTTGCATTCTACTCAACATCCAAACATAAAGCATTAAAACCAAAACTTCAACTCATCATCTTTCCCTCAATTTTCTCACCAACCAAACAGAAAATACCAAAAAAGCGCTCCAAAAAGCTCACACTTTTCTTAGATTCTTGATCGGAGACCGCACTATCTTCAACATCAGGGACGTAGGAAGCAGGAACATGACCTGGGTCGGTGAGAACACAGCCAAAAAAGGAGAAGAGGCAGAGAGATGCCAAGAAAATGAAAACCAGAGCGTTCAGAGAACCAGCGGAGCTCTTCAATCCAACCCAATCGTCGATGAAGATGAAAACCGTGATGTAACACACAACACCAATTAACAGAAACACCATTAAGATTGGGATTGACAGGAACCTTTCGAACTTCATCGTGGGTTTGGGGGGGAGATGGATTCAACAGGAAACTTTTCCCTTGTTTTTCTCGGAATTCTATTTCCCGTGAATTCTGTGTCTGAGGAAGGTCCGAGCCTTTTACTTGCTTATTTCTTTTTACTTTTTAGTTTCTAAATGTACCCAAGAATTTAAGACCAAATCACTTTTGGTCCCCTAGTTTGTTTTTTTTAATTTTGGGTCAAACTCCTCTAGTTTGGTTGAAGTTCACTTTTGTCCTTCTGTTGTCAATTGTCTCAATTTTCGTTTACGTAGTCTAGGGGGCGATACAACACATTATATTTTTCATCCATTTTAATTAACGAAAAAGGCACAGACCATATTCACTCCTCTCACAAACAAGTGCAATCCAGTTAAAGATATAAAATAATAGTATTTTGTACCATAACATATCGATTATCTCTTTAATAAATTTATTTATAGACATATGAAACTCACTTGTATTAAAAAGATACTTAACAATACAATCAATAAAAGTGGTCAAATAACATTACTAAAAATAAAAAATTAACAAGTTATAAAAGATCTAAGCCTCCAAAGAGTAGAGTATAACCTACAACAGTGATCAGCAAGATGGCGACCTATCTCTTTTCTCTCTTACTCTTTCTCCCTCTTTCTACAAGCCATCGAAACCAAGATTTGTAGTTTTCGGGGCCAAGGGTTTCTTTCATGGTTCCCACCCTTTGGAAATACAAGGAACCTTTTGATACCCCGGAGCGCCGCGCCCCGCCAACCCACCCCGCCCCGCCCATCCCACCCACCCCACCCCCCCCCCCCCCACCAAAATAACGTTTCTCCCTAGACATCATGTGTTAGTCGTCCTTTCCCTTGCCTTGTGCATGGTTTTTGTCCCATAATGTTCTTCTAGGGCCTTTATTTTGGCGATTTCAGATTTGTTTGGGATTTGCATGCTGGCTAGATTCTTCATCGATCTAACTGGGCCTGTGGTGGGTGTTGTTTTTCATCGTTAGATATTGGATGGACCTACTCCTTGTGTCCATTTTTGCTTTCTTCTCAAGATGTTGTGGAGGTGAATGTGGTCGTCACTTAGCCAACTAATCAAGTTCTTCATTGAGGAGGTGGAGCTTTTTTGGCTCAGGCGAATCAAAGTTGATGGTGCTGATGTGATATTGCGCTACTGGGGTGACGTTTTGACCCTCTTCTGATGTGTCCTTCGGAAGTTGAGCGATCGAGCCATTCTTTGGTCGTGTTGCAACGTTGTCCCAAGCTTATAGAGCATTTGTTCGATCGCTCAAGATTTCTATGTGCACCGAATGTTAATGTGTAGGTCTTGTTTGCTATCAAGCTCTAACTTGGCTGTAAAATTGAGTAATCATTTGCTTTCTGTCTTGTAAGTTGGTGGTTTACATAACGTTGATTATTTTCAGTATTTGCAAGTCCCTCCTATGATAGGTTGCATATAATAAGACGATCTTAAAACGTTGATTTTTGAGAGCTTTCCATCAAATAGTTGGATCAGTAGCAAGTTCATGTTCTTTCCTTGGGATCTGCTAAACACTAAAGTAGTCAATTGTCCAACAATAGCAATGGTCATAGGAACCCTTGTATGTTGATGTTCAATGTTTCTGAAAACCAAAGGGTTCCTAACTCTGAAAATTTGTTGCAGACAAGTAAGGCTTTACTCATACATGAAAGAGATTGACTATCAAGATTAAACATCATCATACAGGGGTTCCTATGACTATTGCTATTGTTGGACAATTGACTACTTTAGTAGCAGATCCCAAGGAAAGAACATGGACTTGCTAGTTGCTAATTATCCAACTATATATTTGTTGCAGACAAGTAACACTTTACTCTTACATGAAAGATTTATTCACTGTCTATTTGTCAAGAATTTCCCTTTTTTTTTTTTTTTTTGAACAAGTGTCTTGAATTTTCAATCTCCGCTCTTTTCACAATATTTATAAAGAAAAACTAATGAAAAGGGTTTGAAAACTTTGAGTTTTAATGATAAGGACAAAATAAAGGGTAAAGTGAATAGTACCAGGATTGACTTTTTAGTGTAAAAATGTGGTTTTTCGTTAAAGTGAATAATACTAGGAATTTTTCGTTAAAGTTTCCTATTTATAAATAAAAAATAAAAAATAAAAGGTTTGGAAGGCTGCTAATGCAGGCCTCTTTCAAAACAAAATTATAACTTGGGCCTAAATCTGGTCCGACCTCATGAAACTAGAATACTAGTTAATGTGACTTTGTATTAGTTTGCAACTTTGCAGATATCTTAAAACCAATGAAGTTAATAGTTATGATATCAATTATTCAGTTTCCTAGTTTCCCATGTTCTTGCAATGTTACCTTAATTAGATGCATGTAGTATTTTGTTTCCTCGTAAATTTCTCATCGTATTATGCAGTGCCCGATCTAGGCAAGTTTTTTTTGTGTGGGTAAATTAGTACAAAGGAGAACCTGCAAGATTTTGGAGAATTGAAGAGGAGTCCCCAGCTCCATCTGCCACTGATGTTATGTTGCTTGTTAAATGGAAGACCACAGTTTCGGGTGTTCTGAATCTTGATTTGCATTTGCTGTAAGGTTCATGAGGTCTAGCTAGGTCAGTACGTAGTACAAACTACAATAAAACTAGCTAGCTACTGATCAGGATCTTCAACGGCTCAAGGTAATCAGGATTGTACAAGTAAAAATCTCCACTGCAAAAGTTAAAAAAGCACAGAAATATTACTATGGTAAACTAATTATAGCTAATGTATTCATATAGGGCATGATGTGTTTCAGCTTTCGTAACTGTTTATTGCATTATTGTGTACGTACGTATATCATCAGCGCCATACATTATTTTCAAACTTAGGTGCATAGCAAATTGCATCTGCTTTAGCCAATATAACTAGAAAATTCTTACAGTGTTAGAAAGATCAAATTTATTATATATACACGTTATTATCTATAATTAAGAGCAATGCCTCGTTTATGCATGTAGAGCTTACAAAATATCAACAATCATTATCCACCAACAAACATGTTCAATTTCCTAGCATTCTTCAACCTATTAAGAGTGTTATTGGCACTACAAAAATATCATTTTACATTCCTCACAAGTGTATTTTTCTTTCCTAATATAGAAAGTTTGGAGTGTAGAATGAGATTTTTAGAGTGCCAATAACAATTCCGATTATCAAAGTCGACTTTGAAAATTTTTAGGCCCTGTAGTTTCACATGAAAAGGAGATATGGCGGGGTAGAAGGGTGACGGAGGGGATGCGGTGAGGTTTGCCAACGGCCTCAAGTCGGAGCAAGAGGGCTGGCATCGATGAAATTCTAGATCTAGGGTTTTTCTTGGGAGAGAGAGACAATTGTGGAGAAGTATAATATGGTGTTAATTTGTCTCTTTTGCTTAAAAGCAAGCAAACGGTAAAAACAACTGTACGGGAGACTCCGTAAAATAAGAGTAGGCAAATTTTCAACTACGCTAACACCAAAAATTTGTATTTAAGTTCACAAAAAATGATTCTATCATATAGGGACCAGAAAAAAATTTGAGGGGTTCGAAACATCAAGGTTCATGTGTGGTGGCACCACCGGAACCTCTTTAAGGCCAGCCCTGCATATTATCAAATTTTTACATATAATGCATATATACACTTACACATTCCGACCTCTTGAAGCATCCAACTAATTACTAACTGTATATTCCTAGGAATGCTCCACGCAATTGGCTATACTCTATTGTTTATGCCCTTAATTTTCTACTTTTTCCTGATTTGACGAGGGTTTGGCCCTAATTAACTAGTTAAATAAGGTTGGAACTTGGGAAGGTCAACCTAGGACATGTCTACCCTCAACCCCAACTGAGTTTAGGAGAATCAGATTCAAATGTTAGAATAAATTAAGTAATAATATATCCCCTCTCACAACCTCATCATGATAATATTAAGCGGCGGTCCATGCAGAAGTTTCCATGGAAAAGTACTTACAAGTTAAAAGCTAGCTAGGTAGTTAGCATATCAAATTCATGCATGACACCCCGATATCCCAAAGCCAAACAACCACTTGGCCACCACGATCATAAGAAGCTATAGCGTCATTATAAATCCAACCAAAACTCCAAAATCACTGCCAATATAACAGGCTAGCATAAGGCCACGAAAACGTAGTACAACTTCTCTCTGTCAACTGTCATTACTCACAAACATCGACTTGTGGTCTCAAAGAAAACGCAGTACAAGTGCCAACGGTTGTATGATCACTACTACTCTCAAGCTGTGTTTCTCTCAAATATTAATATCATACAACAATGCCAAGTACTTTTTGATAATTTTTAGGTCGGAATTGAAATATTGCTATGCCATCTAGCATCTTTAGTACTATGGTTAGAATTATTGAATAGTACAATGCGTGGTCAGAACTTTGAACCATCGAAGTGGTAAAAATATGTAGTACCATAGTGGGGCAAAAAGCCATTTTTGGGCACCATTGAGCTTGGTATAAAATGTCTTTATGTGTATATAAAGTAATATTCTCTCATCAGAATTACACTACTTATATATATATATATATATATATTACTAGATTGTAAATTAGATTGCAAATTAAGACAAGTATCAACTTAATTATTGGCCGCCTCGGTATGAGAATTTTTATGTTCATGTGTGTGTGAATAAAAAGTACTAGACCAAGCTAAAAAGCTTGAAAAGTAAAGTAATTACTATAGAGTACCATAAATTTACAACTTGCTCGTTAAGAATTTAAAACGCAGATAATATTGCAGAGTAGAAATAGATTGAAGGAGATGAACTTGCTAAACCTCGGTTATATAATATACAATAAACTTGATATACATACAGATATATATATATATATATATATATATTATGTATAAATTTTGTTAACGTTAAACTTTCCTTTGGGTCCTTAATTACCATGTTTAATTTGGATATCTTGGGCATGCAGTGATCTGCAGACTTACTATATTTCCCCATAAAAAAGTATAATCATGGTATTCCCTAGCTAAGGAACTATAAACTGGAAAAATGCACTTAGTTTTCTTTATAATTTCGGTTGAAATTATATATTTTTATTATGTGAATTTAGCAATTGAAATATTT